TCAGAACTGCTCTCTGTGTCCTCTCCCATATGTCAAGGAAAGAAAAAAAATGACCTCTTAATTTAGTTGTCACTTTGTATTTGTTGGAAGTGTGCAAAAGAATAATTGGCTCCAAGGACTAATTTGTAGTGTTTTTGTAGTTTTTTTGGTAGTTTTTTTGTAGCTTTTTTCACACTTATTACATGATCATCTCCCTCCCCACCCCGGTGAATTGGTTTGATTTTTGTCCTGATACTTGAAAACTTCTATGCATGGAAAATGTAAATCATGATGTTGTCCTAAAACTTTTGAAGCCTGGTATCTATTTGGTTAGTATTTAATCACTCCCTGCAACATGATGAACTGTAATAATATCCTGGCTTACAAAAAAATTGCTAAAGATGAGAGAACTAGAGCTGTCACATTGCTTATCACCACATAAAAAGAACAAAGCAGAGATACGACCATGTTTTGATTACCTCAGACCATGGTGAAATTGCACCTATGAAAACATCTGATGTGGGAAATATGATCCAAACAGTAGCTCCGTGTAGTATTTAAGACTACAGTGTAGTCCCTTTTGTAATGACAGAGGACTTATATTAACAAAGTCTGCCTTATTGTGGCTATAAAAGGGACTCGGTGTTACAGGACTTTTTATTCTTGGCTAACACAGACTTCCAAATTCTTTTGGCTTAAAAACTTCAACAGCTATCAAAGGCTTCCTTGGAGATACTCAACATACTGACGAGAGATGCCTGAATTTTCTTTGTACCTTGTAATAAAGCAGGTGCACTTGGAACTCATCCTTGATCTGTGACACAATAAATGAACAAAGAGTGTACTTGGAAAATACACAAAGTTTGAATTTCATACTGAAAATTTATGTCCATGGTAATTTATTTGTTCATCCTACATTGGCTCTTGTAATCGTTAATTAATAGAAATGAGTTTAGGACTCCGACAATATTTTGTCAGTGACAGAATGAAAGATAATACTCCATATGTTATAGAAATAAGGACATAAACCTTGGGATTTCATCTATGGAATACTTTGGGGGATTCTAGTGCAAAATTTAGAATGTATGTGTCTTAGCACCATGATGCCATTTAAAATAAAGCCTCAAGTAAAGTATGTATTCCTATAAAAGTGAAATATGTGTTAGTTAGAAGTATGAAATGTATCAGCTTGTGGGGAGAAGGATGGAAAGGGTGATGCTGATCATGATGTATCGCATTCAGAATGGGCATGTTGATTTGAAACCCCTTTGTACAGCTATTCAATGATAATAAAATTAAATCACATAAATACATTTTGGTATCCAGTGCTCATGTTCAGCACTAGTAAAACTTCCCATTTGTATGAGATTCTGTTGCCTTTGAGAAATTATTTATAGAAGTATTTTTCCCTCAGAACAAATGTCCAGGGTTATTTTACTTTAGTTCATTGGATTCTAATGGATATAGTTAGCTAACAATGCAAATCTCAGAGAAGTAACTAACACAGAACAAAAAGCTTAATACATAATCTATGGATTTTTTTTTTTTACTGTTCTCTGTAGGGCAAATGGCTTCATTCTTCCTCAGCCCCATGCATACTTCCCTGTTGACCCAGTATAGCAGAAATTCATTAATGGCTTCTTGAATGAACAAGCATTTTATTGTTATTTAACCATTTCATTTTGAAAAACATTCACTTACATAAAGTAGATAGAAAAATATAATGAGATAAGGGAAACCATGGGACCTATGTTTCTTTGGGCCTGGCTTACTTCACTTAATATAATTTTTTCCAAGCCTTTCCATTTCCTAACAAATGGGGCAATGTCATTCTTTCTGACTGAGGCATAGAATTCCACTGTGTATTATATACCACATTTTCTTGATCCATTCATCGACTATATTTATAAGATGATTTCTTTGTTGCTTTGTATGTCCCTCCCCCATGGTATAACCCCTGCTTTCACTGTATTTGATGTTGGTATAATTTGTGGAGGGTCAGGGAAAAAATAATAGGGATACATTGCAACAATGAAATGTACAAGTCATTATGTCAAAAAACGAACTTTACAACTTTGGCGGGGGTGGAGGGGGTAGGGGGGAGATGGGAAGAAATTGAAAGAGGAAACAAAGGAGGAGGCAACAATGCTTGATAAGAAATGTACTCATTATCTTGCCCATGTAATTGTAACCCCTCTGTACAGTATTTTCCCAATAAAAAAATAAGTAACCACCCAAAAACAACAGCAACATCAACAAAAGAAAAATATAATGTATTTTAAGTGTGTAGTATTCAATAATGATCAAATTATAGGTGATATTCTGTGTCCTCAATCTCATTTCTCTTCCATCTGATTATTTGAAGGCAGATTTCAGAGTTCAGAATATATTTAATAGCAAAAGTCTCTTTTTAGAGCATGGCTACCCAGTACTGTTACTAAAATGTACCTTCAACTAACTATGCATTCATTTAGTTTTTAGATTTCCCCAGTTCACTCTCTTCTCTCTCTCCTTTTTTCTCTTTTGTAATTTGAATTTGATTCCAATGAAGGTCAACCACTGATTTGCAATCATCTCCTCTAACATATTTGTTATAGTTGCTTCTCAATATCTCTCTCACTGTATGAATATATACCTTAAATGAGGATGATAATAACAAAAATGGTAACAGGACATAAATGTAAAAGGGGAACTGAAGGGGACTGGTGGGAGTTGGGTTGGGGAAAGGGTGAGGTACTGAGGGGTAGAGGATCAGCAGTCATTATAGTGTGTGTGTGTGTGTGTGTGCGCGCGCGCACGTGTGTTTATAGAGAGAGACAGTATAATGAATAAAATCCAACAAACACTGAAAAAAATGGAGGAAGAGGGAGGGGGAGTAATGGCAATGTGGAGGGGGTGAATTTGTTTGAAGTACACTACATATATGTATAGAAATATCACAATGAAATCCCTTCATGTTATAGATATTTGTTATTTAAAAATATCATGGATCAGAACCTCCAAAATCACAAATCAAAATAAGCCTTTTCATTTAAACAATGATACCAGTTCATTTGTCCTGTTCTATTGTTTGTATTTTACTGAGTACAATGAATAAGCGTTTTATAACCTAATCATTTCTTTTGAGATGGGGTTTCAACTCAGCGCAGAGCTCCTTGGGCTAACACAATATCACTGAGCCATGCCTCCAGCCGTTTTAGGATGGGGAAATAGCATAGGGGAGAGGTGTATATCTTCCTACTTGTCACTAGGATCACAGATATACCACAGAGTCCCATTTCTCTCCATGGGGATGGAGTCTCACAGCTTTTTCTGCCTAGTCTCACCTCCTAATCTCGGGCTCCTATGTAGCTTGGGATGCTAGAGGCACACCATTGCAGTCAGCAGTGGGTTGAGATGGAATCTTGTGGACTTTTTTGTTTGGGCTAGCCTTGAACATCAATCCTTTTTATTTTCCTCAGCCTCCCAGTGGCTAGGATTTCTCCCTAGTAACCAGAATTGTTCCCTCCTTCCCTCCCTCCCTGCCTCCCTCCTTCCCTGCCTTCGCGCCTTCCTGCCTGCCTGCCTTCCTTCTTTCCCCTTTCTTCTTTTCTTCCTTCCCTCCTCCTCCTCCTCCTCCTCCTCCTCCTCATTTTCTTTTTGATATGATCAGGCTATATATTGCAGGCTGGGATGGAGCTCACTGTCTTTCTGCCTCAATCTTTCAAATATTGGGGTTTTACAGGCATGCACTAGCACCTCTAGCTCCAGAGATATTAATGGATGTTATGTCCAACTTGATAATTGTCTTAGTGAACTTTTTCATTCACTAAGTATAGAACGAGCAATAGAGTAGCTTCATCATACAGTGATTTTGTCACTTCCTCTATGAACACACATTTCTACAACTTTTAAATGGCATGGCTGAATTTCCAGATCTCTCAGACCTTGTGCTTTACCATCCTGTGATTTTGCAAAGCTGGATAGATATCTAGACAAAGTATGCTATAAAACATTTTACAGAAAATAGCACAACTTATTTAATTTAATTTATTTTTTTAAAAGGCTGTCATTTATTGGAGGTAAGAATCATGGAGTTTTCTGCCAGGGCTGGCTTTGAAACATTTCAGCCTAAATAGCCAGGATTGCAGGTATGGGCCAGCAGCACCCAGACCAGCTTTAGCATTGTTTCAGGAAGTGTTACAACTTATTTTATTTTATTTGTACAAAAATATCTGCGAGTTAATGAATACTTAAGAAATATGTTTAGATGTATCATCTCAGCACCATTTCACAACTTTCTGGTCAGTTTTATTTGGGAGTCCCTAGATATTGGTTTTGGGCACTCATTACCCAATAATTTTTCATTTAGAAGTTATCTTAAACCCTGCCAAGGATATTTATGCAGCTAAGAAAACGTCTTTTTTAGAGCATAATTTGTAGACGTTGTAAAGGCTCCCTATGGCCAAGAATTGTGCAGTAGATTAATGATTCATGTTGGGTTGGAAGTTGAGGCATTATAAGCCAAGTGATATGATTATTTACTTTTCAAAAGAGAGGAGGCAGAGGAGAGAAAGAGAGTATGTGTAGTACATGAAAAGAATCTTAAAAAGTTAAGATTTGATGAACAGCAAGTGAGTCTCCAATGTCTGAAAGCCAATAAGGGGGGGGGAGCAGTCATATCTGACTAGGAAATAAGCAACATGCACTTATTTCAGCCTGGGCTATTCAGAAAGTCCTTCCAGATGACACACTGGGGCAGGGAAGGGAGAATTGTTCACAATGGCAGTTTCTGCTTAGTGGGCAGGAACCTGGTAGAGTACTGTGTTTTAAGTACTTATTAACATTCTGCCTCTTCGTTTAAGGAGGATCCCATATAAACAACGATTATTTATTGTAGTTTAATCCACACTGACACCTATGTATCATGGTCTATTTGATATTAATCAACTTCATTATTTCTCAAGGTGGTAGGTATAAAGGGCAATGAACAGGTTGAAAAATGTTTCTGGAGTTAAGATTGTGATTTTGGAAGCTCAAGAATGGCCAGGAAACATGGGAAGTACGTAGTGAATATGGACCACTCTGGAAACCAGCTGGTGAGTGTTGGTAGTGACACTGGGTTATATTCTTATAGCTCATACCTTTATTTCCAATATGTATACAGCACAAACAATGTTTCTTATCCCACCAATTTTCTAATTGCAATCTACTTCTAACCAAAATTTTACGTGGAAGCTAATTTCATTTATCCAATCATTACTTATTTGTAAGAAGTTTTTTTCTTTATACCAACATGTACATGATTGAATTTTTATTTTAGATGTTCACTAACTTAAAATATCATCAACTTGGGGAGTGATGGCATTAATAATAAATAATTTTAAAATCATTTAAAATAGTTTAAAAATAGTTATATTTCAAGTATAAGCTAAGAAATATGGTACCAAAATTGCATAAAAATTGTATTGAAAATGTGATGTCCATTTGGATGCTAGTTGTCTAGATTTAGTGTCATGTTTAGACTTGTCAGAGATTTATACAGATTCCAAAAGGCAGTCTCTTAGTGAAGTATAGGCTTGGGATGCAAATTATGTAGCAATTCCTTTAGACTGAGCTCAACATAAGTACTTAGAATGTTTCCTTTTGGTAAAGAATTGTTTTGAGCAACTTATGTATTAATTAAATTGAAAATAGCAACATTATTTTGATATTCCTTTAGGAGTAGAGGTAATTTAGGATATGGATCCCATATGAATCATACATTCAATGAATTCATAGTAAGTGCACAGCTTGGTGCATTTCTATGTACCTATACAAATGTATATGAGTGTATATATAAATGCACACACAGATATAGCATTTTTGGGTAAACATCACTTAGCTCTAGAAGGTCCTCTTCCAGGCTGTAAGGAGACTCCCCTGTACCTGCCCCCAGTCAGTGCTCCATCTGATCGGAGGCAACTGCTCCTTTCATCTTTAGAGTTAAGTTCTGCATTTTATTCAATTGCATATAAGTGGAATGATAAAGTGTGCTTCTTCTAAAATTATTAAATATTTAAAATTGTTATTGTAAAGGTGATGTGCAGAAGAGTTACCATTTCATAAGTCAGGTAAATGATTACATTTCTTTTTGGACAATGTCACCCCTTCTTTTGCTCTCTCCCTGTTATCTTGTTATGTTGCTTATTGTTATATGTAGGGCACTGTTTATTTATTTTTTGGTTGCTGTGTAACTTCCTTCTTGCATCAATAAACCACAATTTATCTACTTTCCTGTTGTTCAACACTCGAGTCATTCATTTTTTTTTGGCTATTCTAACTTGTAGCTGTGAACTTCCCATCTAGGGCTTACGGTGGGAGGTGCTGCCATATCATTTGACTAAATATGAAGAAATGAAATCATAGGTGTTGAGAGGTGACGAGTGTCTAGGTAGAAAATTACAACTTTGATTCAACCTAAACAAGAGGCCCAAAGGGAAAGAGTTCCAGCTTTTGCTGTGTTTTATTTTATTTTCATGGAACGGCACTCGGCAAGGGCTATGTGGATTAGGGATAGATGACCAAGGATCATTTCACTGCCAAGAGAATCCAGAAAAAAAGTCTTCTGCTACTTCATGGGGCTGGAGGCTCGAAGAAGAAAGAAGAAGGCTAGAAGTGAAAACCAGTTGGGTCCTAAAAGAGGAAAAATGTGTCTTATTTTAGTATTTGATTCATTTTATTGATTTATTGTTTTTTATGGGTATGTGTTGGTATCTCACTGTGTTTTACTGTGCATGTGTTTCTCTGATGAGTGGTTGATGTTGAAGTATTTTTTCCTAAGGTTTTTCCCCAATGGGAAAACTTCAACTTCTCTATTTTGAACTAAAGGTTAACATTTTGTGGCTTTCAAAAATTGGGTTGTCTAGGTTTTCCTTACTAGGTTCTTGTTCTCGGTCTTTTCATATATGTGAATCTCTTACCACTATTCTTCACAGCACAATGATGCCTTGATTATTTTAGCTGTACAAGTTTTTAGAGTCAGTTTGTTTATTTTTGCAAAAATACATAATTCGAATTGGTAGAATACTGAATCTGCCTATCGATTTGTGAGAACTGGCATTTGAATATTTTTGTGATTCACAAACATAGTTTACTTTTCCACTCATTTTAGTCTTTCCTTAAATATTATTAACTTTTTTTTTTTTGCTAGTCCTGGGGCTTGAACTCAGGGTCTGAGCATTGTTTCTGAGCTTCTTTTTTTTTTGGTCAGTTGTGGGGCCTGAACTCTGGGCCTGGGCACTGTCCCTCAGTTCTTCAGTGCTCTACCTCTTGAGCCACAGCGCCACTTCTGGCTTTTTGTTTATGTGGTGCTGAGGAATTGAACCCAGGGCCTCATGCATGCAAGGCAAGCAATCTACCACTGAGCCAACCTCCCAGCCCCAAATATTATTAACTTACAACATAATTATATTTAACAAATGAATTGAATATGATTAGGTTAAAAAAAATCATTTATCTCTGAACTTTATGTCTGTACTTATGTGAGTGGTTGATGGAGATGTAAGTAGATTTTTCTCTTGAAATTCACTTATTCCCTCAGTCCTGCTTCAAATGTTATTGGATCAAGACATTTTCATGATGTCTCACAATCTGATTTAGATTGGTTAGAATTATATTACTTTCGTTGTTTATTTATAATAGCTTTCTATGCTTTCTCCCATTTTATTTATTTTTTAAAATCCACAGCCATTCACGAGCCCAAGAAACCAGGAAGTACACAATATAGCATGCCAGCTTTCTGCATCATCTGCTATAACTGGAGATTCTGGTGCCAATTTAACTGCTGTCTGCACCAACCCAGAGACCCTGGGAAACTCAGACTTTCCAAACAGAGAACGTCAACATTGTCAAGTAATGTATGGGGTTAATACTGTTTTTCTGAGTTAAGGTGTAATCCACATGAAAATATTGTTGGTCCAATATATGGAGGAAAACATTTGATCAATTAAAAGTAACGTCTTAGCTGGGCAGCGGCAGCTCTCGCCTGTAATCCTAGCTACTCAGGAAGCTGAGTTCTAAGGATCATGGTTCAAAGTCAGCCCCAACAGGAAAGTCTGCGAGACTCTTATCTCAAATTAATTACCAGAAAACCAGAAGTGGTGCTGTGGCTCAAGAGGTAGAGTGCTTTCCTTGAGCTGAAGAGCTAAGGGACAGTGCCCAGGCCAGAGTTCAAGGCCCACAACCGACAGAAAAACAACAACAGCAAGTTAACACCTTTCTTTTTCAGATAAAGTAAAGCCTTTGAACCTATGATCGTCAAAGAATGCCAGATAGATGTGGGACTTGGTAGATGAACTTAAACAGAATGTAGAGAAAATATATGAGAATTAAAGACAATCAAGAAACATGTGGGACTCTTATTTTTGAGTACTGAGGATGTGACAACAGACCAAACACATGGGTAGTATATGGCATAATTTGTAGACATTGCACAGGTGGCAGAAGAACTCTTGGCTCTGGTCTGTGGGTGATACGTCTCATTGCCTTCCTGTCTGCCTTTGACTCTGACTGTGGCCCATTCTTTAGCTGTCTGGCTCTGACCTTATATGTTTTGGAGCTTGACACAATATGACATTGTTTCAAATATTAAAATTCCTAATCAAAGGCAGAGTTAAAAAAGTCAGATTCCCTTGTATATGCTCTTAACCACCTTTGCAAAAATATCACCTAGGGGAGATCTCCTATTACTAATTTTCTCAAAAAACCTTTTGAAATAGAAATGATTATGCCAAATTTTGATGTAATTTTGAGAAGTAGATTAAAAACTTGCAAGTTAAGAAATGACAAAAATATCCGTATAAGACTTAAATTTAAGGTTCTCTGATTTCAAGAATTAGATATTGTCAAGGAACACTAACAAATACTACAGGTATTAAATAGTACTTTAGAGTCCAGAAAATAATTTCAGTTTTAATTTAATCTTGCCATGAGCTATTATAGATGAAAGACTCAAATAAAAGAAGTAAGCATCTCACCCAATTAAATTCAACTAGTGGTGGCAGAAGTTGTTCCAAGAAATGTTTTCAGAATCCAAAGGTCATGCTGCCAAATACTGACTTGCAAGAAAGGTTACTTAAAAAATTGGATATGTTATTAATTAATGTTGTGAAAATGGGGAGCTACAAAGCAGCTCACTGAAGGGTGAAATTTCTGATAGTTGACAGGCAGGTATGAAAGGGAGAAACATTTAATTACATAATGTTTTTGGTCCCTTAAATAACTGTGTACAATAGTTACACCCACATATGTAGATTTTTTTGTGATAGTAAAGGTATAAAGGGTTTCTATGTCTAAAGACATTTGTTATTTCTTCAATTTGAATGACAGACATAAAGGAGCATTTATGTCAATTTATGATGATTACTAATATTAAGGAAAACAAACTTGACTAATAAAAGTTAAAATTTGTACCTTCTTGTTATTTAAAGGCATTATGATACTTTTTTGTTTATAAATTATCTCAATGAAATATTCTATTTCACAATATACTAGAGAGCTATAGTAATCAAGACAGGGTGGTTTTAGTATTACTAAGCAGCTACATAAAAGGCTGGAGATGTATGAAGCTCAGGAAAGAATATCTGCCCAGTAGTCACAAGGTTCTGTGTTTTATTTCCAACGCTGAAATAGAGGAAAAGATCCATTTATCAGTTGAGCAGAATAAAGAGCCCATGAATACAGCTACTTCATGGCCAATTGGCTTTGACAAAGGTATCAGGAATACACAATGGGACAAACATTTTCTTCAGTAAATATGGATTTAAAAAATTGAACAAAACCACCAAAGAACAAAATTCAGCCCTTATCTCACATCATAAATATCAGTACAAAACTGAAGACTTAATATTATTACTTAGAACTGTAAAACTAGAAGAAATCTGGTATACAAAAGATGATCAAAGGCAGTAATTTTCTTGAAACATTTATTTTGGTCTTTAGTAATAATCTTATTAAAATCCTTTACAGGTGGCACCGAATTTCTTCAGTGATTGGTCTCTCTGGAAAATCTTCTTGGTTTGTTTTTTAGCTTGTATAATAACCACAGTGATTGGAGTACTTATATTGTCCCTGGTATATAATGGGAAAAAAGAGAATACCTCCATTATTATCCAAATTCCCCAAAGAGGCGAGACACCTTCATGTACTACTAGCACAACTGCAACTACAAGTTCAAAACCTACAGTCACTGAAGGTATAATAGAAACTGCCACTGCATCCAATTTAAATAGGCCTATTACCACACCAATGATTGCTAGCACTTCAATGCAGCTTACCAGCCCAATAACTGCTAACGATGCTTCAAGTAAATCTACAGGAACACCTGCCTCATCAGGCACATCTACAGAGGCTACAAATACATTAATCAGCAATATTACCTCTACTGAACCTACCACCAAAACAACGGCTAGCACTTTACCTGCTGTGGCTACCATAACTACAAGCACTTCTGAACATGTGGTAACGGTGGCTACCACAACTGCTCCCATCTCATCCACCACTACAACTGCAGCTACCTCCTCCACGGCACCAGTTACTACAATGGTTAGCCCTTCTACTGAAGTCTCAACCACAGTTTCGACCATTCTCACTTCTGCAGAATCTATAATCACATCTGTGGCCACAAATACATCTGAACTAACCACCACCACAACTTCAGGAACTTCCACGGAACCTGCAGTCACAGTGCTTAATATGATCACTTCTACTGAAGTCACTATGACAACTGCAGCCACTACTTCAACGGAGAATATTACTACTGCTGCAGGAAGTTCTACTGAACTTTTAGCCACCTCACCCATCACTGGTGTTCCCAGTGGATCAACTAGCACACCACCAGCCACTTCTTTAACAGAACTGACTACTACGATTGCAAGTACATCCACCGTATCTACAGCTACATTGGCTACCACTGTCTCCTCTCAACTCTCGACTACAACAGCCCCAACCAATTCAACTGCAGAGATCACTACTACTGAAGGCCTTTACACTGAACCTACTACAACATCAACCACCACTAGTCTCTCTACCCAACCTACCTCTACAGTGACAACCAGTACTGCAACAGAATCAACAGCAATCACAGATACTTCCACGGAAGTAACAAATACAGTAGGTACTTCTACTGCCTCCATGGGATCTACCAATACAATAGAAGCCACCCCCTCTATGGAACCAACTCTGACAAATAGTGCCAGTACTTCCACTACATCTACAAGCACATATCCCACGGCAACTGTAACTAACATTTCAACGGAACCAACTACAACTGTGAGCCCATTTACTGAACTTACAACTACAATAGCCACCATTCTTGCCCCTGTGGAACCTACCACTCCCAAAGCAGCCACCCTTTCAACTGAACCTACTACAACCACTACAGGGACTTCCTCCAAATTAACATCCACAGTCTCTACTTCCTCCACTCAACTCTCCACTACAAAAGCTGCAACTGCATCACCTGAACTAACCACTGTAATAAATGCCAGCTCAATGCCAGCCACATTGGCGACTATTCAACCTTCCACTACAAGGGCTGACAGTACTTCAGCTGTATCAACTGATACGACTGAAAATACTTCCACTGAACCTACCTTCACCTCAGCCGTGGTGGCTGTCTCTACTCAACCTTCCACTACAACAGGAGTAACTGCATCATCTGAATTGACTAGCACAATTGGAAGTACTTCCACTGACTCTAACTCTGCATCTGCCATTACTACTTTGTCCATTCAACCCTCTACTACAACGGTGTCTATCACTTCATCGGATCTGACTACTACAAGTGTAAGCACTTCCTTGGCAACCACAGCAATGACCATGAGTCCCAATTTTCCAGAGTCTATAACCCCAACTGCAACCACTGCTTCATCTGAGCCAGGCACCACAATAACTATAGGCATTTCCTCTGAAGCTGCAGTCACAGAAGCCAGCAACACCTCCTCTACTGAGCCCTTCACAACAGCAGCTGTAACTAAACCAATTACTAACACTGGAAGCATACTCATTGAACCCACAACCATATTGGCCACCACTGCTACCTCAAGTGAACCTACCACAACCACTGCAGGCAGTACTTCAACTGAAACAACTGTTTTAACTGAAAGCACTTCCACTGAATCAACCTCCACATCAGCTACCACTCCCCTCTCCACTCCATCCCACACTGCCGCATCAGCCACAACGGAGCTGTCTCCCACAATAAGTGCCAGTACAGCCGCTGAACCTATGGCCATGTTACCCTCCACTACTGTCTCAACTCAACCCTCCACTACAACAGCTCTCACCACTTCATCTGAAGTGACTGGTATAAGTATAAGCACTTCTCCTGCAGAGATAATGACAATGACCACCACTCCTCATTCTCCAGAATCTACAACCAGAATTTCAATCACAACTTCACCAGAATCAGCTACCACAACAGCTATAGGCCCTTCCACGGAAACTACCCCCACGGAAGCCAGCAGTATCTCATCTATTCAATCTTCCATGACAACTTCAACTGAAGAGTTTACTACCAATACAGACACTTCCACAGAATATACTACCCCATCAGTCACCAGTACTTCTTCCACTGAAATTACAACTACCACAGGCAGTACTTCAAATGAACCAGGTAGCATAACTGAAAGCGCTACCATTAAACCTACAGTGATTAGTGGACCCCCTCAATCTTCTACTGCAACAGCAGCTGCCACCATATCTAAACTGACTAGTACAAGTGCAGGAACCTCCAATGCAGGTACACCAATGACCTCCCATCCTAATTTTTCAGAATCTACAACCACCATTGGGGCCACTACTTCATCTGAACCAGTTACCACAATGGCTATAGGCACTACCTCTGAAGCTACAACCACAGAAACCAGCACTATGTCATTCTCTACTGAACCCTCCAAAACAATAGCAGCTACAACTTCCATTGAACCAGTGACTATCACTGCAGGCACTTCCACTGAATCTACAACCCCACTGGCCACCACTACTTCCTCTACCAAACCCTCCAGTCCAACAGCATCAACAGCTGCACCTGAGACAGCTACTACAACTACTGCTCCAAGTGTGGGCACTTCCACTGAAGCTACAGCATTGACCGTGAGTCCTAAATCTCCAGAATCTACAACCGTTGCAGCCATTACTTCATCTGAAGTAGCTGCCACACAAAAAATAGGCACTTCCTCTGAAGCTACCAGTACAGAAGCCAGCATTCTTGCCTCTACTAAACCCTTCACGGCAACCTCAGCTACCACTTCACCTGAGCCAATCGCTACCACTGTAAGCACGTCCACTGAATCTACAGTAGGGCCCACCACCACTGTCACCACTCAGCCTTCTACTACAACAGCACCCATCGCTTCATCTGAATCAACCAGTACAAGTATAATGACTCCCACTGAAGCTACCACCACGGGGATTAGCATTCCCTCTTCAGAATCTACAACCACAGGTGTGTCCACCACATCATCTGTACCAGCTACCACCACAACAACAGGCACTTCCTCTGAAGCTACAACCACAGAAGCCAGAACTACTTCTTTCTCCACTGAACCCACTGCAACAGTAGCAGCAACCTCTTCATTTGAACTAATTACTACCAGTGCTAGCACTTCCATTGAAGCTACCACCACACTGGGCATCACTTCTGTCGCCAGTCAATCTTCTCCAACAGCATTCCCCACCTCATCTGTGCCAACTGATACAACTGAAAACATTTCCACTGCCTCTACCTCCGCTCCTGCCACCACTACTCAACCTTCTACTACAACAGGACACACGGCACCATCTGAAATGCCTGGTACCACTGGAAGCACTTCCACTGAACTTAACTCTGCACCTGCAAGTACTACTTCCTCCACAAAACCCTCCAGTTCAACAGCATCAACAGCTGCATCACAACCACCTGCTACAATAACTTCCACTGAAGCTACAATAACCTCGAGTCCCAATTCTCCAGAATCTACAACAGTGTCCACTACTTCATCGGAACAAGACATCACTACAACTATAGGCACTTATCCTGAAGCTACAGCCACAGAATCTGGCACTCTGTCCTCTACTAAACCCCTCACAGCAACCTCAGCTACCACTTCACCTGAGCCAATCGCTACCACTGTAAGTGCTGAATCTACAGTAGGGCCCACTACTGTCACCACCACTCAGCCTTCTACTACAACAGCACCCATCGCTTCATCTGAATCAACTCACTCAAGTGTAAGCACTTCCACCACAGTGATGACCGCTCCTTCTTCTTTAGAACCTACAACCACAGGTGCAGCCACGCCTTCAAGAGAATCAGCCACCACAACGCTCGTTCCTCCCTCTGAAGCTACAACTGCGGAAGCCAGAACTACTTTCTCCACTGAACCCACCACAACAATAGCGGCAACCTCTTCTATTGAACCAACTATTACCAGTGCTAGCACTTCTACTGAAGTTACCACCATACTGGCCATCACTTCTGTCTCCAGTCAATCTTCTCCAACAACTGCCCCCACCACATCTGTGCCAACTGCTACAACTGAAAAGACTTCCACTACCTCTTCCTCCACTCCTGCCACCACTATCATTGCTCAGCCTTCTACTACAACAGGACATACGACATCATCTGAAATGCCCAGTACAACTGGAAGCACTTCCACTGAGTTTAACGCTGCGTTGGCCTCTACTACTTCCTCCACAAAACCCTCCAGTTCAACAGCATCAACAACTGCACCTGAGCCAGCTACTACAAGTGTAAGCACTTCCACTGCACCTACAGCATTGACTGTGAGTCCTAATTCTCCAGAATCTACAACTATAATTGTGTCCACTACTTCATCGGAACAAGATATCACCACAACATTGGACACTTCCTCTGACGCTACAGCCACACAAACCAGCACTGCTTCTGTCTCTACTGAACCCACTGCAACAGTAGCTGCAACCTCTTCAGTGGAAACAATGACTACTACTGCAAGCACTTCCCTTGAAGCTACGTCTATATCGGGTATCTTCCACTCAATCTTCTTCAACAACAGCCACCACTTCATCTGAGCTACTTGACACAATGGAAAACACTTCCACTGAAGCTATATCCTCATCAGCTACTACAATCTCTAATCAACCTTCAACTACAGTAAGAACTACGACTTTATCTGTAATGACTAGTGCATTGGGAAGTAGATGGTAGGTATTTAACAGCACTACTTTCTCCATCCAACAAACCACTGCAACACATCCATAGCTTCCTTCGAACTATTACAGGTTTAAGAAGTTTGGCTGCAGCTACAATAATGACCACTACTTTTAATTCTCCAGAGTCTACAACCACAATTGTACCCACTGCTTCATCTGAACCACATACAACAACAACTATAGGCACTTCCTCTGAAGCTGTAACCAAAGCAGTGACCAGTACCGGCTCCCTTAACCTTCCCAAAAATACAGCAACCACCATTTAATCAGAACCATATGCCACCAGTACAAGACCCACAACCTATCGGCCAGCATGACATTTGCGGAATCAACTACTGGCATTGTAGGTAGTACTTTAACAGAACCAACTGTTTTGACTGAAAGCACTTCCACTGAGTGAACTTCGACATCAGCCGCCACTGCTGTCTCTTTCAGTCCCTTACTCCAACATCACCCACCACTTTAAAACTCAACTGACTTCCACGATCATTGACAGCAATCCTCTACCACATCAGTTATCACCACGGAACTTAGTACTGCAACGGCAGCCAGGACCTCTACAGAACCAACTAGTATAATGGCATGCCCTACCACAGAACTGCAATGACATCAGCTGTCTCTACCATCTCCCCTGACCCCTTCACTACACCACTCCAACTGAATGAACCACCACTACTTTTGCCAGTGCTCTTGGGGGTACAAAAAGGACTGCTACTACAGGGTCCACCAAATCTACCATGGCAACGCTGCAATTGCTTTACTTTCAGCACTCCCATGAGGCCTCGTCATGATAGTCACCCTACTGAGTACTTCACCTACCAGTACAATAGCTCTCACCACCTTGACTGCTTACCCAGCTCTCACAGGACTCCAGATCAGACACCACTGTTAGAGTTCTTGTCTCTGAGTTAGTTTGCAGCCTTTGATATTGGTGAAACCCTCTGTGTTGAGGTGAATATGTGTCTTGGTCAATACCCTTTACTTCCCAATAGGGTACATGCTTTTAATTGTCTCCCCTCTCCCCACTCCACCCAAGCCTAGATATTTGCCATGACTGTTTGTGCCGGGAGCTAAGGTCCAGTGGACTCTTGGAGGAATTTGGCAAAGAGTGCAAGACTGCAGAGCTCTTGATGGATTCCAGATCCTGTCCTCGAGGGAAATGTTCTTGCACTCCTCGTCTATATGCACCATGGGCAGATTGCAGTGTTTGCTTGGACGGGAAACCTGCCATCCTTGACTGGATTTGTTACACCAATGCTATTACCTAGAGATTGGACTTTTGCTCTATGTCCTTGTGGAGTTGTCTTTTTCTAGTACCAAGCAGTAACCTGTCTTGGTGCTCTATCTTGTTAATCTGTAGGTCCCCTGAATGCATTCTGAGCTAAATCATCAGTATTTTTTTTTAAAACCATGGTTTGTTTGGTCTCTGATTAATTGACTTCTAAGTATCTTTCACTTTGTTTCCCAAATATTTCCCCACTATATTTTCTGATTAATAGCTTTATTGAGATATAATTCATAGACCATAAATATTTTTAAGTTAAATAATGTAGTTCCTCTTGCCTATTAGTTTTTAAAAGTGTATAGTAATTATAGAGTGACTTTAATTAAATGATTGTAGGACTAGTGATTAACCCTTAGACTCACACACTACACTTTACATGGGACTCATTATTTCTTTTATTTTTGTAAAAATGTTTATTGCAAAGGTGATGTACAGAGGGATTACAGTTACATAGCTCAGGTATTGAATACATTTCTTTTTGAATAGTGTCATCCTCTCCCACATTTTCTCCTAGTTTTTTCCCCTCCCAACCTGTTGCCCGCCAACATAGTAACTAGTGAGTATCACTGATGAATTCGTTCAACCTTTCCCCGCCATTTCTGTGCTTCCCCTTCCTCTCTCCAAATCAAATAAATTTACATATAAGATGAAAGGTACAGACATCCCAAAACAGTGACAAAACAGGAAAACCACACCATTTTCTTTCTCATCAAGATAGTGGGACAACTTTTACGCCTTAAAGCAGTCAGGAGGTCTGACCAGAAAAGTACAGCCATTCTTGAGAAAGCATGCATTTCTCCACAGAAATTGTTGGTCATAGAACTGGCAAGTTGGAAAGGGGGCAATTCTGCCCCACAACACCAGCCATGAGGAGGCTGCAGTCACTCCTCACAGCAGAGAGTATTCTTTGCTTACATCTCTGTCATTACAAATAGTCATCACGGATGTAAATGTCAAATAGCCGATTCTTTAAAATTTTCCAGGCCTGGTGCTGGTGGCTCACATATGTAATTCTAACTACTTTGAAGGCTGAGATCTGAGGATCCTGGTTTGAAGCCACTCACAGAAGACACATCGGAGAGACTCTCATCTCCAATTGACCACCAACAAGGCAGAAGTGGAGCTGCGTTTCAAGTGGGTTCATGTGGTAGAGTGCCAGCCTTGAGCACAAAAGCTTAGCACCTAGGTTCTGAGTTCAAGCCCCGAAACTGGCACACACAATAAAGAAGGATTTCCTAAAAAAAAACAAACAAAAAAATCAACCTTGAGTCATGAGGTACATTTTCATGATGTTATAATAAGTAGTATTTGGATGAAGAATGTAGTTTGTGTGTTTATCTCTAGAAAACATTATCAGAGCCTATAAGTTGAAATTATGGAGAAAAAAAGCTTTAGGTCAACATAGAGAAACATGATCTAACAGTGAAAGTCAGCTCACTGACTAGTGACTGTCGAATCTTAGAAAATAAATGAACTCAATATCACTGTAATTTGCCCATAGAAGCTGGAAGGGAGATTTCACTTTCATTTGTTAGAGTCTGAACTCGATGTTTAGAGTGTTTGTCTCTGAACACAACTGTATGTATTTGTAAATGCAAAAAGGAGTGTTGTCCATAACAAAACAAAATATTAATCTAACTTAACTATAACTTTTACAATCAAGTCAAATGCTATTAAATATTTAGCCACTGCGATAAAACTAGAATGCGAACTCTAATAGAGCAAGCACTTGTCTTTTTGATTTGTTGTCATGTAGATTCTCATTGCCCAGAAAATGTCTACTGTAAATGAATGAGAAAAGATAAAACTGTATCAAGAACATACTTGAATTTTTAGTAGAGTTGGAAAATATGTAACATAGATATGAGAAAATCTCTGACATGTATCAAAATATATTTTTCAGCTGTTCATTTTCATTTTAAGTAGCACTAATTATTATTATAAAAATGTTATCTAACAAGTGGTTCATTAATTTTAATCTGTTGAAACTCATTCTGTCATAAATACTGGGAATTAATTTGAGTAAAATAAAGAACTACTCTTAAACCAGTGTGGTGGTACGTGCCTTTTTTATTTTTAATTTCTATTATGAAGGTTATATAGAGAGGGGTTACAGTTACATAATTCAGGTAATAAGTACATTTCTTTTTTTAAGAGTGTCACCCTCCACCCTCTGCCTTTAGCATCAGCTTTGGAATAGGCCATGGCAAGAAGACCGAGTTTAATACCTACCTGTGATTATATAGTGAAACTCTGTCTCAAGTAAAATCAAATAGAATAAAACAAAACAAGACAAACATCCACAAACATCCTTCAAGAGAATATGAAATTTTCCTTTTTTTTTTACATTTTTACAATGCACTAAGTGAATTAAAACTAATTCTATTAGAACGTTTGACAATCAATTTCTTTGCATTTTCTGTGTGTCTCATGAATGGTTTGCATGCATTCAAATCAACCAGGTGATAGTAGAAATGTAACTGTCACTAACCACAGTGTATTTTGAATTCTCTTGTCTGGTCTTTTAAAGTTGCATCAGTCAATCACGTCAGAGGAGAAACCAAAATAAATGCATTGCCTGAAAATTGCCAATATTAGAGAACCGGAGCTGCCATACTAGTTCAGCCAATCAATGGCCATGACTTGCTCTGTGGGAAGCTGGGCAGTGTTATCCCAGATGAGAAATGTGGCTGGTTAAAAAATCTCTGAGTTTGTTATAGTCAAATAGGTAGCCTGATTACAGAAAGGCCCAATATGTGATCAATTGCAACGCCATTTGTGTGCTGCTTTTATTATACACATTTTAAAATGATCTCATTTATTTAATGTTTGGTACCACTGAAATATCTAATTCCCACAGGCCCAAGTTTGATTTCCTGGAAATCAAACTTTTTAGGATAAATTGCTTTCCCAGTTTCTTTGTTTCTTTTCTGTCCTTCCTTAGTTTTGTCACAGTTCACGTGATTTAGAGCTTAGGGACAATGACATCCTGAGTTAGTTGACTCCAATCAGAAACCTTAAGCTATAAGTGGTGATTGCATTTGTAAGCAACCACATGATTTGAAAGGGTAAAATCATGCGTGTACACATGCACACACATGTACACAGTGTGTGTAGAGGAAGATGAGTTTTTCTCATCCTTGAGAACACAGAGAGCTTGTATTGTTTATCTAATTCCCAACATAAAAAGTGGACAAATGTTGAATCGATAAAAATTAGCCCCATAATTTGAAAGCTTAAAATGTTTTTTTTTCAGAACAGAAAAATAGACTTAAATATTTTAGGTGATTATGTCACTTCTCTTTAAGGTCTTTTCTATGATCTTGGTTTTCAAACTCCTTGTGTATTCAAGTTATTGAAATAGAGCTCAAACTCTGCCACCTAGTTAGGTTATCTGGGGTGAAGCTTAGGAATGAGCATTTTCAAGAGGTCTTCTCATCCCTTCTCAACTCTAGGTCTTAACTTAAAAACTTCTCTTTGTTTTCAAAAGGAGAGCTAAAGGACTCTGCAGTAGACTATCTGCCTTC